TTTCACGAAGGAAGGCGCGTCGCCGCTGCCCACGGGAGCTGCCTTCGAGCGCGGGCGACAGATGGAAATTCCCAAGGGAAGAATATCGACGAATGCAGACTGCATGGGAAGCACCGTTGAGGGGCGCACAGGTCAGAGCATCTGATTTAGCCCGCGAAGTACGGCATCTTTGGCTAGCATCTGAGGAAAATGAAGGAGCCGCCCACGGTGGCTCAGCCGCTGCGGCGCGCGGGGGGAAGTCGCCCGTGCACCTCGGCACGCTCGGGCTCATAGTTGGCGCAGGCTGTGGGCGCAACCTCATTGCGGAGAGGTTCATTCGAGCTGCAGGCGCAATGGGCATGATCAAAAGATTAGAATATTCGATTGCCCTGAATACTGCAGGAGGTTCCTCTCGGGCCCTCGGTTCAGTTTGCGTCGCATGCCCCAACTCCAGGGATGGGCGTTTTAAAGCAGTGGTCGTGGCGGAAACACCGGCTGTGATGTCAGTGGGAGAGCGGTGCATGGATCGCAGCTTTAGTTTCGTTTGGCCAGCAGGCCAACGACCCGACTCACTTCTGCCCAGCGGTCACAGGGTGGACCTGATCGTTGAGGGCAAGATACCATACTTGACCCTATCTGGCAGAGAGGCGCTGGGTCAATGGATGTGTGCGGTTGCCGCCAGAAAGCCTGCGGCTCCCGAGCGGTGGTGTTGCGTGACGTCAGGCGCCGAGACATTTCTGGGTGACGTGGGATCTGCGGGAGGTCCTCCGCCCCGCTCCAATCAGAGTCGCGTAGCGATAGACTTGCGCACGCATGAGATGATTTGCAACCGCGGCTATCCGGATGGCAGGCGAACGACGGCCGAGTGCTCATTTCCGTCCGCCATAGACTCCATGGATACAGTCACTTATTTTCATTATTCGCCTCAGACAGCTCGTGAATGCGGTTCGGACAAAACGCCAGCGGGCGTCATGAGTCTTGTAAATCCCCCATCTCATCCCAATGACGACACAGTCGTTGGTTGTACGAAGTCTCACCGCGGCATAGCCGGGGGTTGTGTGGCTAAGTTTGAGAAAGCTCATTGGTATGGGGTCTCTGGAGTTTTGCCCTGGGACACGGATCGTGGATTGGATTTCATTACAAGGGTCGCCGCACCTTGACAAAACGCGGTTGCAGATGATGGTTCGGGAGAAGGTGACCTCGTTGATATCGACCTACATCCCGAAAGCGACCCAGATTGTGCTGAGGTTGAGGTACCAGTCTCGGCAATTGAGCGACTCAAAAAGAGCGCGGCTTCCCTGTCACATTGGTTAACTCACGCTCCTAAGAACCCTTTTTGCTCGGTGTGTAACTGGACAGGCTATGCGGCGCCAACAAAGGAAAACGCAGCATAAAGGGCTGAGGGTGCCGAGACCATGCGCGAATCCCACAACGTTCGGACACGTGACCACCGTGGATCACGGGCTTGCGATGGATGACCTATCGCGGGGGCTCCACGACGAGACCGCGTGCGTGACTTTTCGCGACCGGGCAGCAGATTCATGGCAGTACAGGGCGTGCGCGACAAATCTGCGATTCATGTATGCAACTTTGTGATCAACCGAAAAAACCCAGGAGAAAAGTTCGAATATGGTTACACTGACGGTGCGAGATAACTTGCACGTTAAATATTGCACATGATTTGGCCATCCCTGGTAACAAGAAGCTTATGGCTGTCGCTGAACGGTCCAACGGAATTGTTCAGATGGGGACTCAAGCGCTGCTAATGCTGGCTAGCCTTTCCCCACCTTGTTGGACATATGCTGTCTGATTTTCTGTCTTTGCTAGAACGCAAGGATCGCTGATGGAGGTGAATCGTCGTGGAGGCGCAGATTCGGACATGAGTTTGCGGCACCTCTTCTTCCATGTGGCTCTCTTGTCCGATCCATGCCTCCTCCTGAATCGGATCGCCAAAAACAGGCGGGGCGATGGTCACGGGGATTTACTTCGGATATGCACACAACGCGGGGGGCATGGTAGGGCCAGAAAACCACGTGACATTGTCGAGGCGGCTTGGCGATCTGAACATGGAAACTGGGCGGACGCCAGCAGGCAAACGCCCGATACTAGAAAAGTCGGATCAAGTCTACAGCAATATTTTGGACGGTGCTGCACCAGACCAAGAACTTAGTTTCCTATGCTTGCGCATATGAGATTGCGCAGACAAAGGTCAAGAAAGTCGTTATTCCCCCAGGCGGTCCCCTCGGACGGCCCAGCCGGTCAGGGGGCCCGATTAGGGTCACAGGCGACACAGTCGTTTGGTGACAGGGATCTAGGCGCACCGATGCCACCGCCCGCCTCCAGCGCGAGGCGAGGCCGCACCACCACCAAAGGATGAGGATGACTCCGATGCTGGGGGCCTCTTCGGCGTCTTGGGTGCCTCGGGGGGGCCTCTTGGGGCCGCTTGGGGTCCTCTTGGGGGCCTCTTCGGGCCATCTTGGGACCTCTTGGGGCCTCCTGGGCGCTTCTTGGGGCCATCCTGGAGGCCATCGACCAAAACAGAGGGGGCTTTAATTGGGGTTGCCCACCCCCCTCCCAAGGGACCAACATGGAACCGACACCATAGTAAAACCAATGATATTTGCTTCCGCGTCGAGGCCGTTTTGGGCACCCTGACCGCTCGCGACCGCCGTCCAGGTCCAGGGGAAGGGGTATGGGGGAGGGGTCAAGACACCCTCTCCGCGCGCAAGCTGTTTAGCTCACTCCCGCCCGCCCTCCCACCACATAAGTGGCATCCGAGTCTCGGCGCAGCCAGGGGTCGCCTCTGGATGGGCAGCCACTGGGAACCAACGCGGACGCCAGGTGCGCGACGCTCGCCGCGGGCTCCACATGCGGTTGGTGTGCCATCTTTGTATAACAAGAAAACGTGGTGCCGCCCCCCCCGTCCGCATGGTCCAGGTGCTGATGTGGGGGCGTCAGCATTGTTGTGGGCTTGCGCACCGCAAGCACCATTATGCGGGCACCACCGCCGTCCCTGTCAAAAAAACAATACACAATGATCGCGGGTGGGCAACAAAGTACCAACGACACTGTCGCAACGTGCATGTTGCATTGTTTTTGGCACGGATGGTGGTCCTGCACAAAGCGGCTTCACTAAGGGTGCCCCGCCACCCCTGCCAACAAACAGTACAACGTGCTCACAGGGCGCCAGCGCACTGTCCAGATTTGGCCGCAATGTGAATTTCGTATTTATGTGAAATGGATTGTGGAGGGTGTTGGCAGGGTGGGCTCCGCACGGTGCATGTCGTAATGTTTGTTGACTGGGCTGATGGGGGCGGGGGCCGTCATGGTGCGCGCATGGTTCCTGGTTGGCTGCAGGCTCTGTGGGGGAGTTTTTTATCTGGTGTTCTTTTTTTTTTCCACTTGCTTTCAAATAGAACAAAAATAACAGTACATATATGTATATGTATGTATAAGCGTATGTACAATATATATATATATATATATATATGTATATAAGTATAGTAAAGAAAAATGTAACCAACCCGTCCCCGAATGGGAAGACGGGGGGTGGAAGAGGAAACTTCCTAAACCATCTACGCCCAAAAGGCTGGCGAGATTAGTGGTGGTGATGGTGATGATTGCGACGCTGATGTGAGGATCAGGACCACGATGGGGAGGGGGAGGATGAGAAGGTATTGGGGGAGTTGCCAGGATGAGGTACTTATTATAATGATGGTGCTGGTAATACATGGCAGCTGGGAGTACGACGTTGATGGTGATGTGGCGGAGGGGAGGGAAGACATAATGAGCACGATGATGATTATGAACCTCGTGAGGACGATGTCGAGGACGATGCTGAGGATGCTGCTGATGATGATGCCGATGATGGTGATGCTGATGCTGATGCTGTTGCTGTTGCTGATGTTGACTGCTCTTGAGGCTGATGCTGATGATGTGCTGCTGATGATAATGAGCATGATGAGGATGATTATGAGTATGATTCTGCTTATGATTATGTTTATGATTGTGATTCTGATTTTGATTATGCTTATGCTTATGAGTATGCTGATGATGATGGTAAGTGATGATGAGTGTAAGTGGTAATGACGATGCTGATGATGATGCTCGTGATGCGGATGATGATAATGATGATGCGATGGCGACCGTAACTGCAATGGGGATGTCGAATGCAATTGTTGTTGGTGGTTTTGGGGACGTTTATTCCCATTGGGATGATGACGATGCCGATGACGATGGCGATGGCGATGACGACGACGATGATAATGGTGATGATGTTGATGATGATACTGATGCTCATCATGATGATGATGCTGATGTTGATGCTGCTGACGATGATGATGATGATGATGATGATGATGATGATGATGATGATGATGATCATCATGATGATGATGATGATGATGATGATGACGAAAACGATTTTGATGATAATGAGGATTGTTGTGATGATGATTGTAGTGCTGATGATGCTAGTGATGATGATGATGATGATGATGATGATGATGATGATGATAATGATGATGCTGATGATGATGGTGATGATGATGGTGATGATGATGATGATGATGATGCTGACGATAACGATGATGGTGGTGGTGGTGTTAATGATGATGATGGTGGTGGTGCTGATGATGCTGATGATGCTGATGATGCTGATGATGCTGATGCTGATGATGTTGATGCTGATGATGCGTGAATGATGATGATTCTGGTGTGTAAGGTGATGTTGATGATGATGCTGATGCTGCTGCTGATGATGTTGATGGTGGTGGTGATGATGATGACGATGTTGTTGTTATTGTTGATGATGATGATGATGATGATGATGATGATGATGATGATGATGGTGATGATACTGATGATGATGATGATGATGATGATGATGATGATGATGATGATGATGATGATGATGATGATGATGATGATGATGATGATGATGATGATGCTGCGAAGCGGGAGGAGAGCGATGAGCAGCAGCAGCAACGGCGGCCGGCGGCAGCCATAGCCAGCGGCAGCAGGGACCTGCCTGGCAACCATCTGACGCCCGTCTTCTTCAGCGTCGGCGACCTCGCGGGCGAGGCGCTGGGCGGCGCGGGCGCCATGGGACAGCGCGCGGCCAAGGCCGCGCAGCAGCAGAGGCCCCAGCGGCGTCACCATTGTCATCGTCGTTGTTGTTGGCCGCCGTCGGCGCCGTCGTCGCCAGTGTCGCCGTCCTCGTGTGTTCGTCGTCGTCGTCGTCGTCGTTGCCGTCGTCGCCGCCGCCGCTGCCGCCGCTGCCGTCGCCGTCGCCGTCGCCGTCGCCGTCGCCGTCGCCGTCGCCGTCGCCGTCGCCGTCGCCGTCGCCGTCGCCGTCGCCGTCGCCGTTGTCGTCGTCGTCGTCGTCGTCGTCGTCGTCGTCGTCGTCGTCGTCGTCGTGGTCGTCGTCGTGGTCGTGATCGTGGTCGTGGTCGTGATCGTGGTCTTGGTCGTCGTCGTCGTATTCGTCGTCGTCGACGTCGTATTCGTCGTCGTCGTCGTAGTCGTCGTCGTCGTCGTCGTCGTCGTCGTCGTCGTCGTCGTCGTCGTCGTCTCCCCCTTGCGGTCGGCCGCCGACAGGTTCGAGGTGGGCGACCAGCAGGAGCTGGATGCGCTGTTGGAGGAGCTGGCGGCGTGGCTGCGCCCGTAGGGCCTCCACCGATTCCTCCACAAGCAGCTGACGGCACGGAACCCGATCTGATCGGATGCCCGCGCGGATTTCTCGGGCCGGCGCTGGACGAACGCCCACTGGCGGCATGGGGGCCTCAGCACCGACCCAAGAAGCTCGCGCGGACCTCTAGGGAAGTGCATGGCTGTGCCGTTTTTCGCTCCAGCTCCTTGGCCTTGGCCCCCCGATCGCCGGGGCGCTGCCCTCGGGGTCCTCCTCGAGGCTGCTCCCCATCTCCGTGCTGCCCCTCTCGCGCTCCCGTGCTCGGGCCTTCTGGCCGCTCCCCCCTCGACTCGCAGACAGAACGTGCCGCGCCTGGCCGACCTCGGTGCTGCAGGCGCAGCTCCTCTCCGCTCCGCTCCGGGGCGGCAGGTACAGACGGGGAGCCTGGCCCGCGCTTTTCGGACAGGCCTTCCGCGGGTGGTTCTCGAAGAACAGGGAACGGCGACACAATCATAAACGTTGAAGGTCCGCGCGGATTTCCTGGGCCGGCACTGGGCCTCCCTGGCGGCACCTCTGGCGCCGCCCCTGGCGCGCTTCGTTCCGCGTGCCAGGGAGGTGGGTCCAGCGCCGACCCAAGGAATGAGAAGAAGGATTTCCACCAGTTTATGTTTGCTCCGTTTTTTGTTTCTCTATGAAGAGCTATCAGCTCGACGGCGGAGGAGTGGCCTTGTCTCGCGCGCAAAAGTATCGGTCACGATCGCGTCGTCACGTCCGACTCTACCGTGGTGACGCCCACGGTGCCTACGAAAATAATACAGTTGAGATTGCTCGCGCAACTGCGAATGCGACTACGTGCGACTGCAGCAGTAAGTATCGGCGCCCGCGACAAAATGGTGGGTATGAAGAGTATCAGGGTGAAGCGCCAATGGTTGTGGTGGTGCTGGTGGCGATGATGATGTTAATCGCACCGCCAGTGTGGAGGTCGGAGCAGCGCCCAACGCTTCGCCTCGAACGCTCTGTCCACCGAACGTGCTGGCCCAACGGGCAGCCCTACCACGCAGGCTCGTGTTTCTCTAAGGAAAGGGTGCGAAGTGTGTAATGGTTCGGCTTCAGGTTTGGGAACGCGCCGAATATGTATATACACAGTTATTTGTTTGTGTACATGTAGATATTTACATCTACATGGGGAAGAGAAAGAGAGAGGGAGAAAAAGACAGAGAGAGAGAGAGAGAGCGAGACAGTGAGTGAGAGAGAGAAAGAGAAAGCGAGAGCCAGACACAGAGGCACACACATATACATGCACACATACACATACACATATGTGTGTGTATATATATATATCCGTGTGTATAAATGTATATATGTGTATGTAAATATACAGTAGACAAGCAAAGACATATAACGAGAGAAAGAGAGAGATGAAGGCAGAGAGAGAGATGTAAAGTGAGAGAGAGATATAGACAACTATAGACATATATATATATATGTATTGACACACACAACGCATACAACATTTATATCTATACACACATTTATACATGTATGTGCGTGACGATTCGCTTTACATAAAGTGCACACGTCATAATGACACACATCCCAGCCGCCAGCGGAAGTCTTCTCAATCCACATTGTTCTGGAGCCCAGGAATCCTGGATCATCAGTTTGGATCGTGAGGATTTTCCAGGAATCCAAAGAAGTCATCGCGAGCTCTAAGGAAGCCTCATGAATCCTGGGCGACCCTGAAGCGTATGATTACCTAACAGCGAAGACTGATAGGTTTCTAGTGGGATCAAAAGAGAGCAGCAGATCACTCCACAGGGGGGTCCGGGCAGGTGTTGGGAGTTGCCGGGCGGCAGTGAGCCGGGCTCGTTTTTCACCAACAGTCACACACTTCGTGCTCTTCGCCTTCCCAGAACTCCATTCCCAGGCCACATTCTGGGGGGCCGGATGCAACTGTAGGCCACTTCGTGCTCTTCTATTTCCCAGAACTCCATTCCCGGGCCACATTCTGGGGGGCCGGATCCAACTGTAGGCCACTTCGTGCTCTTCCATTTCCCAGAACTCCATTCCCGGGCCACATTTTGGATGCCCGGAGCCAACTGTAAGCCACTTCGTGCTCTTCCATTTCCCAGAACTCCATTCCCGGGCCACATTTTGGATGCCCGGAGCCAACTCTAGTCCACTTCCTGGTCTTCGAGTTCCCAGAACTCCATTCCCGGGCCACATTTTGAATAGCCAGACGCTTCATACTCCTTCCGCCACAGCTGTGTTTGGTTCAGGACTTGCTAGTGACACTGCAGTCCTCTGCATTCAATCGTGCCACTGCATTCATTCACTGCAGACCACTGAGTTTTGATTGCAATGGCGTTCCCCTGGCCGTACCCCCATGTCCAACGTTCATCCGCAGCCTCTGCTCCGCGAGGCTCGTCCGAAGTGTCGCCGCCTCGCGGTGCTTCTCAGCCTGCGCCGCCTCGCGGTGCTTCTCAGCCTGCGGAGGAAGGTGGACAGACGCCTGGTTCTGGCGCTGTGCAGCCTGCGTCTTTCACGGTCGCCTCGTTCAATTTCGGGTTCGAGCAGGGCATGATGACTGGTAAGCAGGCGGCCACTCACTGCGCTAACTTCGGAAGGTTGTGCGCCACGATAGTGGAGACCGCTGATGCTGATATTGTCTGTGGCTGCGAGGTCGGTGCGTTCCGTGAAGGCTTTCGCCGAGCAGGGATCAACGTGACAGAGATCCTCAGTAAGCCTTTCGGTGATGGCATTCGCTTCTCGGAGGTCGACAACTACTTGACTCTCTGGGGGTTCCGCGGTGCTTCTCAGCCTGCGGAACTGTTTCTGGATTACAGCAAAGTTTACAGGCCTCCTAGCGGCCGAGAGATTGATGCTGTTATTTCACATTTTGAGGTGAACAAACCAGGCCATGACAAGTTCCACGTGGTGATCGCCAACATGCACATCGTGTGCGGCAAGAAACCGCCGACCATCCAGACTCGAAAGCGGACAGTTCGCCATCTCCGCTTGCACCTGGACGGCCTGGCCAAGATTCTTGAGAATCTAAACCAGGCAGTCGTTCTGCTTGTAGTCGGCGACGACAACCTCACTTTCCAGGAGGCGCGGGAGGCTTACCAGCGCCAGCAGAACGACGAGAAGGTATGGGAGGTCCATGCCACTCCGGCCGACCTCAAAGGCGACCACGTCGCGGTCTGCGGAGCAGTCGCCCGTTTCTGCTCCATTGCCGTTGGCGCGTCTTTTACGGATCGTGGCATGCGCAACGACGCACACGATGCGGTGGCGGTTGTGCTCACTCTCCCTGGTGCTATTCAGCCTGGGGAGAGCAAGAGGCGGAAGATTGTCGTCGAAAACGTCTCCGACGCCGACGTCAGCGTACAGGCGGACCGCGAGTCTTCTGTGCATTGGGATCGGTCGCCGAGTTCTGCTCCTCCGCTTTCACCGACTTCACCGGGTGATCCCGACTACGTCGAGGATGTCGTTCAGAATCGCGCGGACGACTTGCACAGGGAGCTGAGGCAGCTTTGGGACGACAGGTACGACGAGGAGTACGATCCGAAAGTCCTCCATCATCTCAGTCTCTTGCTTTTCAAAAAGAGGAAGTCCACGGAGCCAGCGGACACTAACCCAGCTGGCGCTCCTCAGCCTGGCTCGGAATATGACGCGGCCTTTGCGTCTCAGGAGGAGACTGGCCGAGCCATTCTCTCTGTCCTGAAGCTTCGACATGACTTTCTGCGGAGCAAGAACATCGACGACATGCGCTACGTTCTCACGGAGCCTGAGCGCCAGGAATTGGTCAGAGTAGCTCGCGACCAGTACGAGCAGTCGCGGCAGCAGCGTGCGCTTCAGGAACGGGATATCGAAAAGGGAAAAGCGAAAGGCAAGTCTGCGCCACAAGGGGGCCATGCGGTTCCGCAGGGTCCTAACAAAGGGCCAGGCGGTAAGAAAGGTTCTCACGGTGCTTCTCAGCCTGCGGGAAAAGGTGGCCAGGCCAAGGGTGCAGGTCTGGGTAGCGTCGCCAAGTTTGTGAAAGACCAGAAGCGTAAGCGGTGGCATCGCCATTTGCAACGTGTGGCCGGTACCAAACAGATCTGGGAGGTGCTGGCCTTCTCAGGGCGCTTCGACGTTGATTGGCTAACGCAAGCGTTGCAAGCTGATCACAGTGAGGGCCGTGATGCAGCAGTTCCCGAGGAAGCTCTGCGGCAACAGCGGCGCCGGCTGCACCACCAGAAGGCCGAGGCCATCGCGCGCTACAACGAGGGGGAGCGGCTTTCCCTCCATCTGTCTGCCCAGGCTGGCCAGCCAAAGCCGAACTTCACGCGCAGGCAGCTGGACGTGTTGCAGATGTTTGAGAGCGGAGCGCTGCTTCAAATCCGCAACCAAGCGATTCTGGCGTTGGGGCACGGCCGTCTGTTCAGGGGCGATGGCGACTACCTGGACATCGGCGGCAGCACGGGCGGTGGCTCCAGGCGCATCATCGATTCTTGGCAGCCGCCGGACTGGCGTGACTTCCTCCAAGACGATCAGGACATCTGAGTTTTGCAAGTCTCCCTGCCCGCGGTGCTTCTCAGCCTGCGGTCTGCCGCTCTCCAGCTGCGGTCTCGAGCAGTAGTGTTCGAAAGCATGCGAGTTCCTGCGGTGCTTCTCAGCCTGCAGGTTTCGCAGCCTGCGCTCTGCAGTACAAGTGCTTTTCAGCATGCGACATCCTGCGGTGCTTCTCAGCCTGCAGGGTTCGCAACGTGCGGTTTGCAATGCATTCCTTTTCAGTATGCGAGTTCTTGCGGTGTTTCTCAGGCTGCAGGGCTCCGAGGCTCTTCGCTTCGATGCCAATGTTTTCAGACACCGTAGCTCCGTTCCGTAAACATCTTCCAAGAGCCGCTCGCAACCTTTTGCAGCTGGCGGTCTGCAGACGTAGTCTGTCTCAGCATGCGAGCTCCCGCACGCTTCGCCGGCTTTTGCTGCGCGGACAATTTTCTCACACACGTCAGCGCCGTTTGTAGGCGTCAGAAAAACATGTAGACATTCA